TGATTGTTATTTTTCAGCATACATAATTTGACAGTTTTTGTATACATATAAAATATGTGTTGGTCTGGTAACACGATCTTACAAATTTAGTGAAAATTTTGCACATAACAATTCATAAATAATTTGAGTGCCGAAGTAAAAAATGCAATTTTCATCACCAGCTCCTTTTCTCCGAAAAAATTATTAATTAAGTAGTATTTAATTGTTTGTCTGACATTTTGTTATAGTTCCATGCCATTATGATGTTTGATGAAGATTTACTACCTATAACAAGTTAAAGTGCTATATTCGGCTGAGCCGAATCTTAAATACCCTCCTCCAGCTACTTTTATATTAATGATTTATATGTACATAGAATATATTCAAGTCGAATTTTATCCTTATAGTTTTAGAATTTAATGAAATATCTGCGTTTAAATGATTTTCGGAAGTGGAGTTTATATGGGAGCTATGACCAATTATGAGTCTATCCGGAAAAAATTTCGTAGAGTGACTTATATAAAGACAAAACATATTTGTGTCCAATTTTATTAAGATTGCTTTATTTGACAATCAAATATGTGCTTTTAAGTGATTTTCGGAAGTGGGCCTTATATGGGAGCTATGACCAATAATGTACCGATCGGTAAAAAAATTGGTAAAATGATTTGAATATACATGTCGAATTTTATCCCAATAGCTTTAGAATTCAATGAAATATATGCGTTTAAGTGATTTTTGGAAGTGGACCTTATATGGGAGCTACGACCAATTATGGGCCTGTCCGAAAAAAATTTAGTAGAGTAATTCATATTTAGACAAAATATATGTATGTCGAATTTTATCACGATAGTTTTATTTGACAATGAAATATGTGTTTTTAAGAGATTTTCGGAAGTGGGCCTTATATGGGAGCTCTGACCAATAATGGACCGATCGGTAAAAAAATTTGTAGAATGATTTGTATGTATACAAAACATATTTGTGTCGAATTTTATCCCGATTCAATGAAATATATCCGTTTAAGTGATTTTTGGAAGTGGACTTTATATGAGAGCTATGACCAATTATGGGCCATCCGGAAAAAATTTCGTAGAATGATTCATATTTAGTCTAAACATATTTGTAACGAATTTTATCAAGATAGCTTTATTTGACAATGAAATATGAGCTTTTAAATGATTTTCGGAAGTGGGCCTTATATGGGAGCTATGACCAATTATGGACCGATTCGGAAAGAATTTCGTAGAGTGATTTATACATACACAAAATGTATTCATGTTAAATTTTATCTTGATAGCTTTATTTATCAGTGAAATATGCGCGTTTGAGTGATTTTCGAAAGAGGGCCTTATATGGGAGCTATGACCAATTGTGGACCGATACTAATCTACGTTGGTAGTATGATTTTTGTTGATATTTTATGTATATGTGCAAAATTTTGAGTTGATACCAATATATTTGAGGAAGTTATTCACGATAAATCCATTTCCGGAAATATGTACCTTTGTATGGCGGCTACGGGAAATTTTGGATCGATTGTTTTGATTTTCAACATAATTGATCCCTGGGTAAAAAAAATATTGTGTGACAAAATTCATCGAATTATCTTTTGTAGTTTCTGAGAAAACGACTTAAGAATTACGAAAAAAACGTAATTTTTTTGAGGTAGTCTGAAATTTTTTCTCATAACTTTTAACGTTGTGAACCGATTTTGCTGATTTTCAATACCAAACTGCTTAGGATAATAACAAATATTTTTTGGTGAATTTGGTTTATTTCTTTTGCTTAGTTTTAGGCAGACAGACAGACGGACATAGCTAAATCTACTCAGAATTTCATAAGGATGAAGAATATATATACTTTGTTGGGTCTCAGATGAATATTTCTAGGTGTTAAACACGGAATGACAAACTTATATATACCCTCTATCACCACTGATGGTGGTGGAGGGTATAAAAACACCAAGAGTTAGACAGCTTAAATCTGTTACAATTGCAAGATTTATTGAACATTACGAACGCCTTTTCTTTTATATTTTTATAGCGCCCTAAGATATGCTTTAGCGATATTTAATAATTTTCAGGTATGCATGTGTAAAAGATTTAAAGAAATTCACAAAGATTTAAGGAAATTCACAAAGATTTAAGGAAATTCACAAAGATTTAAGGAAATTCACAATTTGGTAAGTGCCGGTTCACACAGGGAAACTTTTTTGGGAAACTTTTGATTTTGTGTGTGAGAGAAAGAGATGATTGATATTTCTTTTTCCCTCATACACACAAATCAAAAGTTTCCCACGCTAATGCAACTGGTTAATACGGTTAAAGTGATTTTCGGGGCAGAACCTAATATGGGAGATATGACCAATTATAGACCGATCGGAAAAAAAATTTCACAGTAACATTTCTGTATATAAGAGCGATACTTGTACCAAATTTTTTATGGATTTAGGATTTTAGAAATAAGTAATATTTCTGTAGTAATATTTCTGTAGAGCAATACTTGTACAAAATTTTATATGGATATCTTAATTTAGTAATGAGTTATGTGCGTTTAAGTGATTTTCGGGAGGGGACCTTGTATGGGACCTATGACCAACTATGGATCGATCCAGAAAATTTTTTCTGTGAATGAATTCTATTCACATAAGATTTTACTTGTAAAATTTTGTGAAGCTATCAACATTCTGACGGAAGTTATTAACAATAAACTCATTTTTCCGGGAATATGTACTTTTGTATGGGAGGTATATGAAATTGTGGTCCGATTCCGCCAATTTTCAGCAGTAGTCAAGCTCTTGTGTAGAAACGAATGTATGATGATTTTCATGCAATTATATTGTATGGTTTTCGTGAAAATTACATCAGAATGTCTAAAAAATGCTTATTTTTCGGAGTTGTTTTAAATTTTGATTCATAACTTTTCCCGATGTGAACCGATTTTGCTCATTTTCAATACCAAAGTGCCTAGGACAATAGTAAATATTTTGGGTGAATTTCGTTAGTTTTTGTTGCTTCGTGTTAACGTGAGAATGTTTTATACAGACAGACAGACAGACAACCGGACGGACGGGCGGACATAGCTAGATCAACTCAGAATTTCATAAGGTCCAAGAATATATATACTTTGTTGGGTCTCAGATTAATATTTCTTGATGTTACACCCTATCACCATTGATGGTGGTGGAGGGTATAAAATTCAGAATTGGACGATGAGGGGATCTGAAGTAAATCAACTTTTAGTAAAATAATCCATATCATTTCCATACAAATTTCAAAAATTGTAAATTTTTGTTTAAAAATTTTAAATTTATTTTTGTGTTTGTTTAGCACACTCTGATTGTTGGCTGGAATGGTTGAGAGACAATCCCTTTAGAATGTAAACAAAAGGTTGATTTTGTTTACTCAAAAGAAAACCCCAATTGGCAAATTGAAATAAAAAGAACAAGGTATTAGGGTTTGGAACAAATTTCAATTTCTTTATTGGTGATGGTAGGATTACCTGTGTTTCACTCTAAGGCAAGAACAAGAAGAGAGTTTTATGTTAGTAGGAAAAACGGAAGCAGTCTTAGGACATGTTTGGCCAACTTGACGTTTCGTTTTAGGCGTTAATAAAACTTAGAAAGAGATAAATAGCTATGTTTATAGCTATTTATCTTCTTAAACAACAGCTTTGATATATAATATACAAAGCAATAGGTAAGTTTAAGTTGTAGGGTTAATAACATCGATACGTTAGTATTGAAAACATTGTTGGATATGTTGTGGACATAAACATTGCCGCCCGCCTTGCAGGATGCATGCAAATGAAAGGAAAACGGATACGTGAACATGTCCTAATACTGCTGTAAAAGAGAAGAATGAAGGAAAGTAATTATAAAAATTAAATTTAATAGGTTTTTTATAATTCAAGTTTACTGATATTTTAAAGCTTACATACTAAATTATAAAAATTCAAATAATTACGAACTGAACATTTCAAAGTTTTATGGAATTCAAAAAAATTAAACATACGTTTCGTATTTTGCATGCCTGAAATTAAAAAAGTGCATTTCAAACTTATAGCGAACATGGACCATAAATAGTCCATCCGAATATAGTGCTTTGCGCAGTAGGAAAGCCTGGTTTTGAAAATACCCCTTCCAGAATTACCTTTGGATAAAGGTCAGCACCGATTATAATGTCGATTGAAGCCGATTCGTAAAATTTGGAATCGGCTAGAAACATATCACGAAAATTATTTTTATAATGTTCTGGAAGCGACTCGGACGGCGTACGAAGCGTTATCCGATTGTCGACCCGAAATGTTCCCTCTATCTTCGAACCTGAATTAAATCGCGATTTTAGAGTGATTGGACAAAAAGTCTCTTCATGGAGACTGAATGCCGTTAGATTCAGTTTGTCGACGAACCTTTTTGAAACTCGGCTAACCGTAGATCCGGAGTCAAGTAGGCACCGAGCATGTTTGGAAGAAACCTTAACAAGGACGGTGGGTAAAAGCACCAAGGTGTTTTGGCGCAGGATCGAGGTTAGCGATGTGGATTTTGAGATGGAAGGTGCAGATTTTGAGGTCGAAGCTGAGGCGGAATCGGTCTTACGACTGGATGAAGATCTGTTTTCTCGCAATGTAAAAGGCTGTGGGGAAGGCGAACGAGAACGACTAGTCAACAGGTCCTTTACCAGGCGGGGATTCACATGGAGTAGGGTGTGATGGAATTTATGACAATGCTTGCACCCGAGTTTTGAAAAGCAGGTGCCATGGGAATGGTCATGGGCAAGACAGTTCGAACAATATTTGTGTTTGCATGGATGCGATCGTTTATATTCATCGCCAAAAACTTTTTACATGTCCGCAAAGGATGTGGGCGTTTACAAATTCTACATGGATAAGCATTGTACTTTTTTGGGAGTCCGTCGCGGGAGGACTCGGATTTAGATGAAGCGATTTTAGGCATGTTGATCTGAAAAAGAAAATAAACAATAAAAATAAGGGAGCTAAGGGAAAGTAAAAGACGTCATCTAGGATTCTGTCGGCAAAAGAATAAGTTTGACGATAGGACGCGTTATGATCCCTCGATGTGTTAATACTTCAGCAACGCGTACTCGTTTGTCTGGTCCAGGATAGATTTTTGTGACTCTACCAAGACGCCATGAATTCGGTGGGAGGTTTTCATCTTTTATGACGACGAGTGCACCTTCTTGTAGATTTCGTTCAGGAGTTTGCCATTTGATTCTTTTATGAAGCTCTTTCAAATATTCATTTTTCCAACGCTGGCAGAAGTGTTGATGGACAAGTTTCAATCTTTGCCATCGATTGGTCATGGATATAGAGGATTCATTTATTTGTGGATCGATAGGTGTGAGGAGAGGTGAACCTATAAGGAAATGACCAGGAGTTAGGGCACAAAGGTCTGTTGGATCAGTGGACATTGGAGAAAATGGCCTTGAATTTAAGCAAGATTCAATCTTGGAGAGTAGTGTGGACAACTCTTCATGGGTATATTTGAAATTACCTGCTGTTTTTCGGAAATGGGATTTGAAGCTTTTGACTCCAACCTCCCATAAACCTCCCATATGAGGAGCTCCTGCTGGAATAAAATGCCACGTCACATTTTGATGAGCATAGTTCGCTTGAATGCGTTGTTGTGTAGTTTGAATAAACTCCTTAGCTAAGGTTCGGGATGCTCCAACAAAGTTGGTACCGTTATCAGAATAAAGGTGTAGAGGACATCCTCGACGTGACACGAATCTGCTGAATGCTGCTAGGAATACAGGTGTGGAGAGGTCGGATGTTGCCTCTAGGTGAATAGCCTTTGTGGAAAAACAGACGAATACGCAGACGTATCCCTTTGTCATACGACAACCTCGACCAGAATAGCTCTTAATGTCGAAAGGGCCAGCGAAATCTAGCCCGGTATGCGTAAATGGACGACTAACTTCGCAACGTTCAGGCGGTAACGCGGCCATCATCTGCCGTTGACAACGCCTTTTGTAGATTACGCATGTTTTACAATTGTTTATTGTGGCTTTTATAAGATTTTTGGCTTTCGGTATCCAATATTGTGACCGAAGAAGTCGAAGAACCAACTGATTCCCTCCATGTAAAGTAATATCATGTATAAACTTTACCAGAAATCGTGCGAATTTAGAATTGTAAGGAATAATGATGGGATGCTTTTCATTATACGACAGTTCAGAAGAAAGCTCTAATCGACCACACGAACGTATCAAACCTTCTGGATCTAAAAATGGATTAAGGTTTAAAATCCCGCTGGATTTTGGAAGATTTTGTCGAGCCGATAAAGCTTTGTAATCATTTGGAAACGCAGCCTTTTGACAAACTGAAATAAGTTTGTCACGAATAGAAATTATTTCAGAACTAGTGACTAAAGTGGAATCTTTATAGAAATTTGAACGAAAACTTGGATGCGTTCGATAGAAGAACCTATAAACATAAGCCATCACACGCATTGCCCTGGAAAAAGATGAAAATCTTTCTAGCAGATTATCAAAGTCGGAGAAATATGTAAAATGAGTACGGATCGTTTTGACTTCGAGATCTGTAATGGGAATCTTGGACAAGTTTTGGCTTGGCCATTTAGAAGATGAATGCTTCAACCAAGAAGGACCAAACCACCATAGTTCACTGCTCTTCAGTTCCTGTGGTGAAATACCACGGCTTACCAGATCAGCAGGATTATCTTCAGAACTCACGTGACTCCATCTAGAAAAAGGAACTATCTGAATGATTTTCGAAACGCGATTAGCGACGAAGGTGAGCCAATTACATGGTGGCTTCGCTAGCCAAGAAATTACAATCGTAGAATCTGTCCAACATGAAACCGTATAGTTATCCACATCTAGACTTGGTAACAGGTTCTCAATCATCTCCGCAAGAAGTAAAGCTCCACAAAGCTCAAGTCTCGGAATGGACAGAGTCTTTATTGGTGCTACTTTGGTTTTGGACGAAATCAAGTTTGTTTGAACCACACCATTGGTTGATATACGAATATATAATGCTGCTGCGTATGCCTTTTCCGAGGCATCGCAAAATCCATGGAATTGGACATCAGCATTTGGAATATAACCAATCCAACGAGGAATACGTATGGAATTGATTAACGGATAACTATCTTCGAATGACTTCCACTGACTGAGCGTTTCCGGTAATAGACTCTCATCCCAATCGGTGCCATCTATCCATATTTTCTGCATTAGAATTTTAGCAAGAATTATACATGGCGCCAGCCAGCCAGCAGGATCGAACAATTTTGCTATTCTGGACAGAACTTCTCTTTTGGTATATTCCGAAACCAAATCAAATTTATTTGTATCGAAATAAAACTCATCGGAATGAGCATTCCACCGAATTCCAAGACTTTTTGCCGAACTATTATCCTCGAATCTTAGAAAATCTTCATAGATTAAATGATCTTTGGAAATATCCTCTAAAATCTCGACGGAATTCGATGTCCATTTTCTCAGCTCGAAACCAGCTGATTGTAGAGCTAGGATTAGCTCGGTTTTTGCTAGAATAGCATCTCGCTTTGAATGTGCTCCGGCCAAGACATCGTCCACACACATTGAATTTCGAAGAATTGAACTTGCTATTGGAAATGTGTCCCGAACGTCATCCGCTAATTGTAGCACGGTACGAATTGCCAAATAGGGAGCACAATTCACTCCAAAGGTGACCGTTTTCAATTCGTAATCGCCTACTAAACTATTTGGATTATCTCGGAAGAGAATTCTCTGATATGGGGTGTGTCTAGGATCAACTAATATCTGCCGATACATTTTTTGAATATCAGCATTGAAAACGAATTCAAAGAATCGCCACCTAAGAATCAATAATGTAAGATCATTTTGTAAGATCGGACCTACATGAAGAACAGAATTAAGACTTAGTCCATTCGAAGAAGGAGACGAAGCATTAAACACTACACGAACCTTTGTAGTGACGCTTTCAGGCTTAACGACTGCATGGTGAGGAAGATAGTATACATTATTTTGAGACATATTTGGAGAATCGACTTTGGTCATATGTCCAAGTTCTTCATATTCACGAACAACCTTGTCATATTCCAATTTAAGATCAGCATTTCGAATTAGCCTAGCTTCATTTCTAAGAAATTGTGCCATTGCACTCGATCTAGAATGACCGATGCTTATATTATTTGGAAAACCATCCTTAAGTGGTAACGAAACTATGTACCGACCATCTGAATTCATACGTGTCGTTTGAACATATAGCTCTTCACATGCCTGATCAGAAGGAGACAAAAAGTTCTTCTTTTGAAGATTCTCCACCTCCCAGAAACGAGAAATTGCCTTATCTAAGGTAATTTCGCAGAAATGTGAAACGATAGAGAGACATGGATTAGGGTGACGCGAAACTGGACCAGTCAGAATCCACCCGAAAATGGTTTCTTGAGCTAAGAGGGATTCACAAACGTTATGGATGATCCCAGAGCGAACAATCAATGGAAAAACGTCGCCACCAATCAGCATGTCAATTTTCGAACTAGAATAGAACTTCGGATCTGCTAATTGTATATTTGGAAGACTCGAAAATTTTGAAAAGGAATAATTTTGGGAGGGGAGATTATTCGACAAATGTGGTACTACGAGAGCTGTGACAGGAATTTCAATGTCGCTATTTATGTTAGAACCAAGTATCAGAGAGCATTGACGTTGAACTTGTGCCGATACAGTGTTATTCAACCCTGATATCTGGGCATTAGTAGGTTGTGAGGGAAACTTATGGGTATTTAAAAGACGTTCGGAGATAAAAGTTCCCTCTGACCCGGAATCTATCAATGCCCTTACCTGATATTTCGTGCCTAAATGGAGTATATTCACCCAAGCTGTTCCCAGTAAAACACCCGCTGAATTTGAAACGAAGCATGATTGAATTTGGCCTGACGTTCAAGCATTAGTGGACTGTGATGAACCTGAATTCGAAGGTGAAAACGCGACCGAAGTGGAATTGAGTGTTGAACTGGAGGTAGAATTTTGGGTGGAAGAATGAGAGTTATCCACTTCCTTATGAAGAAGAGTATTGTGTCTTTTTTTACACTTGAAACACGTATGCTTACTAGTGCAATTTCTTACACTATGCGTTTTTGAGAAGCAGTTTAGACACATACCTTCCTTCTTTATCTCGTTAAGGCGCTGTGGATAACTCATTTCCAAAAATTTGGGACATTTACGAATTGTGTGTTCGTCTTTCGGACACAACTGGCACTTTGGAAGAGTTAATTTTGTTATAAAACTATGAACTTTTTTATTGGATGTGGTACTATTCTTTGTTTTCGGATCATTTGTTTTGGGACAGTTGGAACCACGAATCTCAGAAACAGATTCCAGCGTCCGATAACGGTTAGTTAGGAACTCATTTAACTCAAGCCATTTTGGAATTGAAGTTTTGTCCTTTAACTGTTGCTCCCAAAGTGTCAATGTGTTTTCCGGAAGTTTACTTGTACATAAAAACACAAAAATAGGATCCCAACTTTCTACATCTATGTTATAAAGCTTTAGAATCGAGATACAAGAATTAATATCTCCTTGCAACTGCTTAAGAGCGTTGCCAGATTCCGAATGAGAAGCTTTCAGGTTGAACAAGATCTTTAACTGACCATTAACCAATATCCGTCGGTTTTCATATCGTGAACACAAATTGCTCCATGCCAAGTCGAAACCTTGATTTGTTAAGGGACTTTTCTGAACGATTTCTCTGGCCTCGCCGGTAGTTTTCCGCGTTAGGAAGAACAACTTTCCGACATTGCTTGCCCGAGTGTTGGATACGACGGCAGTAAACATGTCTCGAAAAGTGGGCCAAGAGGCATAGTCGCCATGAAAAGTTTCTATCTCAACAGGTGGCAAGTGGAAACTATACGAATCAGAAGAAACCGAATTAGGAATAAATTCTCGCGAAGAGTTAGAAGGAGCAGGAATAGTAGAAACAGCTGCATTAGAAGTAGAAATGTTGGGCAGTACCAGCTCTGGATGGGGTAGCGACAATCTATGAAACCCACTAGAGATTTCGGACAACTTCTTCATGCAATTACAGTACGTCGTATACGTATTCTTGTATTTTGCCTTAAAAGACTCTACATCAATTGGATCGTCGGCTTGGTCTGCTTCTTTTTCAATATCGGATAAAAAATTTTCATAGGCTACCTTGATTCGATTCCAATTAGATTTCAGTTCACCACGATGAACCTCGATAGTATGAACCGAATCCAAAGACATTTTGAATTAAGTAAATAAACTTAAAAGTTTATACGAAATTGGACTAGTGATCAATAAAGTGTTTACTCTACTTGTAAAGTTCGAAAAAACAGAAAATTGATGCAATATATATAGATATATATAATTAAAATAATTATATTCCGAAAAAAAAGAAAAAAAAAACAAACTGCAAATCTTGCGAAAATATTTTATTTCTGAATGATTTGCAAATGCGAACGAGTAACGAAATTATATATTTATATCTCTGATAGAAAAAAAAATAGGTGATTGCATTTATTTATTGTCCTGAGAATAGGATCAGCTGTTAGCTTTACTGGGAAATTGTACTACACTTCCAAGAAACTTCCCAACAATTTCACTGTTCGCGACTATTTGTACTATAAACCGAATATTTACATACAACTATGGGAAATATATACAAGCTTCCACGAAACTTCCCAACAATAGACTTGTTCGTGGAGTTATGAGCTCGAAGAAAAGAAAATTAATTTCAAACAAGAGAAAATAAGTACAATTGAAATTAAAAAAAAAGATTATAATAAGTCTGTTCGTTTACAACCTATTATTATTTTTATCTTCGGGTTTGTACACAAAAAATAGTAAATAAATAAAAAATGTTTTTCCTTTCACTATCTTCGGCTTTACTACTTTTATTTGAAATGTAAACGATCAAACCTATTCTGAATCAAAGAACACAACCAAAGTTAAATGTAAAAAGTTGAAAAGGATAAAAAATAAAAAACAATAAATGGATAAATTTGAATTGGGGAAAAAAAACTTCAGAACCAATAAACAATTTTTTAGATTATAATTTTCAATAATCTACAAATATAAGTTATGGTCATGGAACAAGCCTATTGTAACAATTCTCCTGTTGGGCTCTCTTTATTCTATTGGAATCAGTGTTGCCAACATTGGTCAAGCAAAACGCGCGCAAAAAAATTAAAAAGGGGTAAAAAAGCGTAATTTTCTAACTGAAAATGGGTAAAAAAGCACTAACGTTTTTTTAGTCAAATATTGTTTATTTTAATAAAAATTGCACATTATTTCGCTCATTTCCTACAAGACTCCAAAATTCGTTTTTTAGAACATTGGGCTACAAAACAAAACATGCGTCATACTAAAGTCTTTCATCTGTGTGAGTTAGATTTTTAGTAACGTAAGAACTAAAACTAATGTTTGACGAATATTAGATAAATAAGAGGAGAAATTTTCAAATTCCTTGATTTGTTTGAAAGTTATTTTAAAAATAGTAAAATGTCATTAAACATTCAAACTGACAGGCACACTACCAACTGGCGAACCGATGTAACCACACCCAAATTGTAAAATTGTACAAAACTTATGAAATATATTTTTTTTGCAAAATCTATATATATTATTTTTAAGTTTTTTGAGTTCTGGAAAAATGTTTAATTTCACTGATAGTGAATAACATAACTTATTTTAACGTATTTTGAATATTTTGTTTTTTGTTTTTGAAGAATATTTGCTTTTAAAACTTAACACAAATAAAAAAAACTTTAGAGCACCCGTGTAAAAAAATATAAAACAGTTTTTAAGAAAAATTTAGTCCTTAGTGTAAACTATTAAACTGATCGTATTCTAATAAACAACAAAAAGTGGTACAAATAGAAAGATCAAAGAATGATCCCTCAGTTTTCTTAACATTATAGAGAAAATGTTTAATATTAATTAAATAAATTACCTCCTGAAATTCACAATTATTTTAAAATATTTTAACAAGTAAGAGTGTTATATTCGGCTGTGCCGAATCTTATGTACCCACCATCAAATCTTATGACGTAAAAGGAATGCTTCTCTGTAAACATCAGGGAGATAATGCTTAATTCAATTATGTACGTGATCTTCGAATTAACAAAATATTAATTTTTAAAAACAAAATATATATATATATATATATATATCAGAGGTAGTGTCAATTATGAACTGTTTGTCGTAAAATTTGGTAGAAAGACTTCGTATAACACTTATTCGTTTCGAATTTCATTGCTGATCTCGAATTTTTAATTCAGACATAAGCGTAAAAGTTATTATCTAAAGGGGAACTTATATGGGGTTGGGACAATTATATATCGATACCCATAAAATTTTGTACATAGATTTTGTTTTGTTGGTCAGTTATATCGTCATAAAATTCGGAATAAAGAATTATAATAAAAATCTTTTTATTGCGAGTACAACGATGAAGTAATCATGGAGGCTTTATATATTAGGGATAGGTTCAATTGTGTAAAAAAATTGTATAAAACTTATTTTTTGTCAATTTTCATCGCTGTACTCATATTTTTAAGGGGACCTTAATAGGGGGTAGGGTAGGTTACCGAAAAATCCGAATTAAATTCGGTAGGAAGATTACGTTTGTATAAAAGTTGTTTATTTCGAATTTCTCCGCTATACTCGTATTTTTAAGTCAGTAAAGAGCGTTAAAATCAATTTTTGAAGGTGACCATATGTGGGGGTAGGGTCAATTATGGACCGATTGCCGTAAAATTTGCTAGAGAGATTTTGGCTTATATAAAACATATTTATGTCGAATATTTTTAAGTCGGTAATGAGTATTAATGTCATTTGGTAGAGAAATTTTGATGCATATAAAAGTTACTTATGTTGAATTTCAACGCTGCACTCATAGGGGGACCTTATTTGGGGGTAAGGTCAGTTATGGACCGATTCCCATAAAATTTGGTAGAGACATTTTGCCTTATATAAAACTTATTTATGCCGAATTTCATCGCTATACTCGTATTTTTAAGTCAGTAATGACCGTTTAAATCATTTTCTGAAGGAGACCTTATATGGGGGTTAGGCTCAATTATAGACCTATTTCTATAAAATTTAGTAGAGATTTTGGCTTATATAAAACTTACTTATGTTGAATTTCATCGCTATACTCGTATGGGGGGTAGGGTCAATTTTGGACCGATTTCCATAAAATTTGGTACAGAGATTTTGACGCATATAAAACTTATTTATGCCAAATTTTATCGCTATACTCGTATGTATAAAACAGTTGTGACTGTTAAAGCTGTTTTTCGGGGGGCCACTTGTATGGGGGATATGCGAAATTGCGGACCCATATTGCCCATTTGCCATACCAAACAAACCTTACCTATAAGAAATATTTGTGGAAAAATTTAACTCGCTTGCTATTTCCGATCTAACCCTATCGTGCTTTCAACATACAGACGGACGGACAGATGAACAGACGGATGTACATGGTTAGATCGGCTTAGAATTTAATAAGGACCCAAAATATATATACTTTTGTGGGTCTACGACCAATATTTCGATGTGTTACAAACGGAGTGACAAAATCAATATACCCCACTCATCTTTTTTGATGGTGGGTATAAAAAGCACTAAATGCACTGTCATAAAATTAGAAAGCACCACTGTAGTGCCTTTTTGAAAAAAGGCACCATGAGCAAAATTTTCCGCGTTTGGCACACCAAAAGGCACCGCAAATAGTGCTAAAAGCACTAAGTTGGCAACACTGATTGGAATATGTGTAAATACAGAACAGTGTTGCCGTAGCGCTATCTTAAAGATTTTTTTTTTTTTTAATTTGAGGGATGTTATCATAAATGACGAAAATTGCCGGAAATTTCAAATTTATTATATGAACTTTGTATTGATCAGAGTTATTTTGCCTTTTATACAAAATCCAATTGATTGTCAGAATGTGTTGAACAATTTTGAGTCATGAAAAATAATAATTTTTTTTCTTCTGTTTTCAAATTCTTATGAAGAAACTTGAAAGAAAATTTAATAACAAATTAAAATCGCGAAGGACTTTGAAAGAAAACTTTATATTTTGCAAAATAAAAGAAATAGAGAACTGCCAAAAAAAAAACTCAAATACATTTGAAACTATTTTTTATAAATTTAAACTAATTTTTCGATTTTTTTCACTTTTTTCCATGTTTAAAATTTTAATCGAATATTTCCAAAATCAATACTCACTGATCGATTATCAAATCAGGAGTGGGTAACGAATGATTAGAACTGAACTAGAACTGAATAAAATGTTGAGTTGCTTTACTATGAATCACAAACTGTCCACAAAATGTAAAATTTATATTTTATCACAATATAGTATATAAAAGTTATTTACATTAGCAATACCTTCCCGCGAAAAAAAAACTTTAATGGCAACACTGATTCGATGGAATTACTGAACAATATAAAGTGGAAAAAGTGAGAGAGAGAGTAAATTCAAAATGTGGAATTGAGAAAGGGGAAAATTAAGGAGAAATTTACTAAAGAGAACGAATGCAGTTCTCTGCTATCGAGATTAAGTCTAACTGCTAAAAGGATTGTAAAATAAAAAAGGGGAAAAGAACGAATGAGATCAAACAAACGTATATATGTTGTTTAAGAGAATGACACACATGCACATGTAAGAGTGCATATGATATGAGTACGAATTTAAGGAGTAAGCTTTAAAATAAGGGAATTTTCGACGGGGAAGAAAAAATAAATACAATCAAATAATTTATCGTAAGAGAATGAATGAATAAAAATCAAAGTAACGGTTGGGGAATATAAATATAAAAAAGGGGAAATCAAGGGGAACTTTTATGGGAAGAGCTGAAAAAGAAATATATATACATGCATGCATGAAGATCACCCTACAGATTTAAACGCGAAGCACGAATTGAATAAAATCAAGTTCAACTTTTTGAAGTGTGCACTTACAGAATGCTAATGAAAACCTCCTTTTGGATAATTAAGGCTGTATTTCTGTTGAATCATCCACTGAATTTCGAAGTGCTCGTAATAATTTTCGTTCGTTTCTTACTGCTTATTTCTTCTTCCTAGCTTCTTCTTCTGAGCTTCAGTATTATTATATTTATCTCAAATTTTCGTTCTCACTTTTCTTTTATTCTTAAAACAATCTTTTTCTCATTTAAATTTTTTTTTTTTTTTTTTTTTTTTTTAATTTCTATTTTTTGGTTATAATTTTTCCTTTTTTA